CCTGATAGGGATGGCAGTGCATCATGGGCCACGGGGCTGGGGTACACCCTGATAGGGATGGCAGTGCATCATGGGGCACGGGGCTGGGGTACACCCTGATAGGGATGGCAGTGCATCATGGGCCACGGGGCTGGGGTACACCCTGATAGGGATGGCAGTGCATCATGGGACATGGGGCTGGGGTACACCCTGATAGGGATAGAAGTCCCTTATGGGGCTCATGCACACAATCTTTGACATTACGTGCAATTTAGAGATGCCAAGTCTCCCAACTGGATCTTTGAACTGCAGGAGGAAATCAGAGTACCAAAACCAACAGTACCCTGCCCTTCTAAAAGTATCACGCAGACATGTTGTGTTATACAAAAATCCAGAGGCTTTCTCCTTCAATTTCTCATATCTGGTATGTTATCATGCTTACATGGAAATAGCATTCACAAAACAACATAAAGCGTGTCATCAAGAATCACCACTGTGACACAAAAGCAGCAGTGAGCTGGGTCATCGACCAATGATGTGTCAATGCGCAATTAAGCATTTAAGTACAGGCAGGGCTGAATTTGGGGTTTCAGGCAGGGCTGAATTTGGGGTTTCAGGCAGGGCTTTTTTGATTATGATTAATAATTTGACCTGGAAACCACATTGTTTACATAAAGAACATCCATAAAACTTCCTGACAACTTCCGTCTCTTCCGGAGCATCTGTGCTTGGGTCAAGTGTGTTTGGCATTTTTGCACTGCAGTGTTACTTTTAGACTTCACTCTTAACAGAGTCAGTTGTGCTGAACACAAGGACATTATTGCGAGTCTTTCCCCCTCCCAAACCACCCATTTTGACTTCTGTCAGGAGCTTTATAAATACTCCTGCAGACTGGTATTTACCGGGACTAGGGACTCTGGATTAGCACGTGCCTTTGGAGGTGCAGAGACACACCAGTGAAAGCATTAAGGATGATGTACCTTGTGGGGAAATTCTTTAGTTTTTTTGTTTTCTTTGTGTCAGCACAGGTAAGTGTATTTTTCAATAACCTATTTATTCTGGGTTTATATGTTCACATTTTGCCAGGCCTAACGGACGCCGCTTCCCTTGCAGCTACCCTCCCAGACGTGGGCGCAGCAGTGTCCGTCCCGCTGCCGCTGCGCCGCCGAGCCCCCCGCGTGCGCCCCCGGTGTCCGCCTAGTGCTGGACGACTGCGCGTGCTGCCTCGCGTGCGCCCGCCAGAGGGGAGAGCAGTGCTCGGAAAGCAGCCCGTGCGACGCGCGCCGGGGTCTGCGCTGCGACTACGCCGCTAACGTGCGCAGGAGGAGCGGGGTCTGCATGGGTGAGCCCTCGCTCCAGGAAGGCGGGAGCCTCGTAATCAGCTTCAAAAACGATGTTTATAAGCTGCTGTAATTCATATTGACGTTGAAAAGCCGCGATGAGGAACCGATCAATTGTGGCTCCGCCCTTTAAATTTAATGACTGTTTAAGAATCTCAAAATGTTACGGTTGCCTATAATTAGAAAAAGTCAGTAATTCGGATCAACATTATTGCAGTTTAAGTTGTAAAAGGCCGTTTAACACCGGTTTTTAGAAATTCCGAGAAACTGTTAGATGTTTTAAGACTGTCTCGTGATCCCAAATTAATATATCATTTACAATAAGTGCAATTTAAGCTATCGTTTTAAGTGTTGTTTTGATCAAAGTTTTGTAGTTTTGGTCTTAATTAGACTTCTGACGTTACTGAATTACACAGTCACAGATTTTACAAAAAAAACAAAGCACTGGTATTCCGGGTTTTTTTTTCATACCTTGATCATTATGAGAGTTAGTAAACATTTTCCATTTCTTCACTTTACACCTATTTCCAGTAGACTTCACGGAAATCACTGCATGGGGTGTCGCGGTAAAATGTTCCTGCCCCCTAGATAAGCAGGTACAGTAATTAAGGAAGGCGGGTTATTTTAGCTTTACCGAATCATTAATCATGACTGCAGGATTAAACTACACAAGGGGGGCACGGATTCACCAGCACACAACCAGTACATTTTCCATACCGCCCCAGTATCGTCCATGGCTCGCTTGGACCCATTTAGTTGAAGGCGCCACGAAAACTCGGGACTACGTATACATATACATACATAGATAAATATTAATATTATGAATAATATAACGCTAAGGTTAGATGGGTAGCTTTTCATGAGGCCTACAAAGGACTCCCCAATATATAATGCACCTATTACCTTGTTAAATTAAATGCGCTGGTTAGCACCAAAAATACATTTCATGTTCAGCTGTAGAACTACAATTTTACAACTGTAGAGACATAGTAGAATTAACAACTGCTCATTTTGCAAAGTTGTTATTATCGTGTCACACAAAAGAACTTTTTGCCATTATGCATTGTGTTTGTGTATTCGTATTCGTGTAGTCAATAAATACGTGAGGAAAAATATTTTTAGAAACACCCCTGTGACTTAAAGGCCGGTCTGTGTCTGTTTTGTACAGCACGCGAAGGAAAGGTCTGTCGCCTTGACGACGCCGTTTACCGGGACGGCGAGACCTTCTTCCCAAGCTGCAAGTACCAGTGCGTCTGCCAGGACGGCAACATCGGCTGCGTGCCGCGCTGCGACCTCGACGTCATGCTGCCGGGGCCCGACTGCCCCTCCCCCCGTAAAGTGCAGGTCCCAGGCCAGTGCTGCGAGCAGTGGGTCTGCGTGCCCCCGTCCGAGCCCCCGTCCGAGGCCAGCCTCCTCGGGGGCTTCGCCATGGCTGGTGAGAATCTGTGAGGGCGGCGGACGAACCGGAAGGCAGTGCGGCACGGAGTAGGGAGTCGCTGCAACAAAAGTTTAAATTATCGTGGTTTATTTACGTCTTTGTGGCTGGGAAGATTTTCAAGTAGGAGCGTCATTGGAGTCTTATGAAGGAGGGGGCTGATTTTAATGAAAATGAATCAGAACACAAACTAATTAGTGTAGGCCTACATGTGTTTAGGGGGAGGGCTATTTTAGCGGGTGAAAAAGATGTAGCCACGCCCCTTTCCCCCAAGGCATACAGTGCTGTCTTAATCGTTAAAGATTTAAGATAACGGGAAAAAAAATTCTGAGCACAAAGCCATGACAGTAATGGTTGTTTTTTTGTCTGGAATCTAGCATACAGGCAGGAGGAGACACTGGGCTTTGACCCCAGCCTGAACTGTATCGAGCAGACGTCGGTGTGGAGTGCTTGCTCGCGTACGTGCGGCCTGGGGGTGTCCACACGGGTCACCACCCGGAACCGCCGCTGCGAGATGGTCAAGCAGAGCCGCCTCTGCCTCGTCAGGCCCTGCGGCCCAAAGCAGCGCGTCGCCACGACGATGGAGGTACTAATGGCCTTTTCACAATCGGTGCTTCTTTTGCAACGTTCGTCTGCGAGCTTGTTGTGCCGGATCCCTCTGGGTGATCTGGCCTCCTCCCTAAATCCAACTATGTGCAGTTAGCTGGCATCTCCAAATTGTGTGAGATCATGCAGACTCCAGACACACAGAGCTGGGATGTGATTCGAACTCCCTGCCCAGTAGGTGGCTCCTGTGAGGCGGTCTACTTCACATTTTCTAGATGTGCATTTCAGATGTAAATATAAGGGATCAGTGGTGTTGAGAGTTTCATGAAATGATTTCTGAAAACTGCCATAGTGCTTTGTGGTCTGAAGGAGAGACCACAGCACAGCAAATCCTTATCATCATAATAATCATAATCCATCCAACCCCAAACCTTGTCCTACATCGGGTAGCGGTGGGGTCGGAGCCTATCCTGGAGGCTACAGGTGCAAGGCAGGGAACAACCCAGGATGGGGCACAAACCTATCACAGGGCACACTCCCACACCAGTCACTCACACACACGCCCCTATGGGCAATTGGGTACCTCCAATCAACCTCAGCATGTTTTTGGACTGTGGGGGGAAACCAGAGGAAACCCCATGAAGCCATGGCAGAGACTCGAACCCGGGTCCCAGAGGTGTGAGGTGACTCCGTAACTGTAATTATAGTTATAGTAATTATAATATAGCATCTTTCTTTCATGAAATGCAGATCAAAGTGCTCTACATATGAGAAAAAAAGTCAAGAAAGAAATAGAAATAAGTAATTAGAGACGACACAGATAGATAGTAACGGATATTGCAAAAAGGTAACATGAAATGATCATATAATGAAGGACAGAACAGTCACATGAGATAAAGGTAAGAAATGGTGTGATACAAGCTAAAGATTTATACACAGGAATATACATTTGTCACGTGACTTCCTGGTTAGTAGAAGAGACATAGAGTAGAACAGATATAACTATATAACTCAGACTCTTGCTTAGTATTTTCCAATCTAAGCTCCAAATTACAAAAGCATAAACTTACAAAAGATGCCAATGTAACACCATAAACTGTGGAGCTCAAACCACTAAAACAGGTTTCCCCAAGACTAAGCAACAAGTCGTGTGCCAGATGCAACTTAAGTAGGAAATCTAATCATACACAGTTAGATCCCCTCTGCTAATTAGGCAATGAAATAGTAAGCAGGTGAACTGGAGGGAGAAGGTCTCACTGACTCCCTCTGGTGGCCATGACAGGACATGACAGCATTTCATTGAGATTAATCTTCCTCCACAGAAGGGGGACGAGTGCCAGAAAACGAAGAGGACCCCGAAGCCCACCCACTTCAATTTCAAGAACTGCACCAGTATGCAGGAGTACAAGCCGCTGTATTGCGGATCCTGCAGTGACGACCGCTGTTGCACGCCACACAGCACCAGGACCGTGCAGGTCACATTCAGGTGTCCTGGCGGCAGGTCACTAAAGAAACTCGTCATGTTTATCAACACCTGCGTCTGCCACTCGTACTGCCCCCTAGAGGACGCTCCCTACCACCTGCCCAACCATAGCCGCAGCATCCCAAGGAGGTGAGTGGATGGCTGGATGGAAAAGGTCTGCATGGGAACGAAACCTGCAGTGCTGCAGAAGATTAGCACGTTTTCTTATGAAAGACACTGCCAAACACGGATTTAAAGGTTAAACAGATTCATCCAGCAGGAGTGGCGATATTCATCTGTTCCTCGTGTCTGGTTTTTGAGATCTGTGACTTGTCACAACTATTTCAAATATGTTAAGAAAGCACAAGCCACTGATGTGTCAAAGACACAGTCTTAGGTTTTTTTTTCCATCGTTGGCTTTTAAGTACCTGCTAATTTAAATTCAAGCGGTGACTATTTTTTTTGGCCAGTGTGTGTGTATAGTAAACTTCTGTAAATGTTACCTGTATATATGTTCACAATATATATATATATATGATTTTTCCAGCAATGACCAGTGTTGAAATATTTCAATAAATATGTATTTTTATATACAATCTTATACTGTCCTGTGTATCTTGTGATATGGTAATATCCTACGATGAGCCATTAAGGAAATTATAAAATATCAAAATTCTAATTGTCTCACAGTGGAAACCATCATAAAAGGACATTATTTCATTGTACAGTATGTGAAATTAAATCGTAAATAGGCACACAGTTTGCACGGCAATCACTTAAGTTTTCAAAACAATACACATGTATGTATTCTGCCTTAAAATCTGGAAGCTTTGCAATTATATGAGGATTGAATTTTTTTATTTTATGGGGATAATGTTAGTACAAAAAAATACATGCTTGTCCATCGTAAATAATTTTATATAAAAATTAGTAAATGTAAATTACAGAACTTACCTTTCACAAGCAGTATAATGAGAAGATAACACGGCCCAAACAAAACATTAATTTTAAGCATGTAAAACTTGTCATGTTTACTTCACATAGTACTTTTGAAAAGATAAAGTCACAATATTTCATTTCTGATTGCATATGGAACAGTTAACACTTGAATGCTTATTTACACGTTTTATAGACCCATCTAAAAACAATAAAAACAAAATGCACTGCATATTATACATATGTCTAGAGCCACATGACCACCTTGCCTTTAACAGTCACTGCCAGCAATAACCTGAACAAATGCGCAGTTACGTCAATGGGAAAAGTGCTCCCACGCCTAGCACCACTAGAGGGCGACATTCAGATGAGTAAATGTTTATTGCAATGCCACGTGAGCTGTGTGTGCAGCCAACGGACAAGTAACAGTATAGTGCTGCAGACCAGGATGTCTGGTCCATTAATGTGTACAGTACATGTATCAGAACACGTTAACCTACGCAGTGTCACCAGCCTCACACAAAACACTCCTCAATAAACAGCATCTCCATTAAAAAAACACTAATTAGAGGTTATAAACATTAGTCAGTTCATGCTTGGTAATAAAAAGTGAATTAGCTATATAAAATTATAATGTTAACCATCAGTAAACACTTGCAGGAATAATAAATATAGGAACTCAAATTAAAAAAAAATATACACCCAGTTAAAAGAAGCGCAATGGAGACGCTTCAAATCTCGCTCTCGTATGTGTGCAAATAAGTCTTTAGGGACAGGATTTCGGTGTAGCTCCGGCTGGTCCTGCGGTAGAAGTCCAGGCCGGTGAGGATCTCCACGTCCCGCACGCGAGCCGTGTGCATCTTCATCAGCTCCTCCACCCACCTGGACTCATCCTCGGAGCTCTGAGGGCAGGAGACACAGCGGCCCCATCAGCCTATTGAGGCGCTCGCAAGCACACAGGGAAGGAGGACCCTAGTCCTCCGCATATAGGAAATGCTCAGCCATGCAGGCATGAGAGCTGATTGGTTGAGAATGGTGGAGTAGTTTTCAAGGACTTGAACTCCAAGCATGGTAATGGTTCGAGGCTGAGAAAGGACCCTTTTAACATACTAATAAAGCAGAAAGCTTTATTAAAATTAACTTAAGATGCTATGGGTAAAAACGTAACACTATTAATTTTTCACTTTTTTCTGGGATAGTTTATCCAATATTACATTTAACTTCTTCCTATCGTATTGTGAAACGCCAACGCTAACATCTCTCTGTGTCGTTATTGAAGCTGTTCACTCAATGAATCATCAGTCTCTCGATTGTCATGCCAGATGGGTCAAAGTCAGGCAAGAATCACTGCGCGTGAGGACAAATGTGGGTCCCAGCAGGACGGCGGCGCTGAGAAGGACTCACGTTGCAGCTCTCGTCGTTGTCGGGCCGGTGGGGGAGAATGAAGGCGAAAACGCTGAGGGGGCCGTCGCACCCGTCCACGGCCTGGGTGTAGTCCAGGCAGCTGGTCACCACGCTGTAGTAGTGAGTGGGGATCTGCAGCGAGCCACTGGCGTACCTTTGCACACACAGACACGTGCAGTCCTAGTTACCACACCGCTGCTGGAGACCACGCTGCATCCTCGCTGCATCATCGAGGTGCATGCATGCACCACTGCATGCAGGCAGCACGCAAGTTCTTGGTTGACTTTGTTCTGCACCCACTTCCCATGCAACAAAACAATCTGGTCACCAGCACTTGCGCAACTTCAAATGTTGCGATACAATTTATAGGCATTAGGTGGCGCTAAAGTAATGTTAGCAACAATTAAAAAAAGGCTAACCGTGGCCAGGGCAGCTAACTTTTAATGAGCATTTTAACGAGACGACGACATTGACAAATACGCGGCATTTCTGGCGAGTTAGCAGATTTGGCCGATGGCGCCTTACTGTTTCCGTTTCTCGGACGTGTCTCGGAGGCCATCGAAGTCGTAGTCGAAGACGGGACCACTGACGACATTGACTCCGTTCCGCTCACTGGCGTAACGCTTCACCAGTGTCCTCTGGAAGTAGTTCCATACCTCTGCGGAGGGAGAGGGAGGAGAATGGCAGGCTCTGTCATAGAAAGCCCCCCCCAATCACCTTTTGTGGCCCAAAGCCCATCATGGCGACCAACACAGCGTGATATAAAGTGAAAAATTGGCCTGAGGGTTTGCCGCACTGTGCGGGGATGAAGGCCGACCCTGGCGATGTTGGCTGTATATAAAGTGCCGAGGTGTTAATGGAGGAACACGCTGTCCTAAACTGACCTGGAGTGTGTGGATTGGCTGGCGTGGGGCTTAGCCATGAATGGGACATTATAACCGCTCAGTCAAAGCCGTCTCGTGTCGCTTTGTGACATAAAAAAGGTGTTCACGCTCAGCGAGGGATGGAAGTGTTGGGAAATTTACCGGGAAATTCCGAGATGTCTTAATTTTAACATAAATTAAGTAATGTAGTAAATTTTAAACATAGTGGCCTGATTTAAGATCTTCAGAAAACCAACACAACCGCACATTCATATTATTGACGCTAATATAAATCTTTGGTTGGTAAATAAATTTTTATATAAAATGTATACTTCACGGATTCAGCAAGCCAGAATATCCATGCTAATTCTGCTGTGAGACACCTCATCCGTGCCAGCAACCTCCTCGTTTAAAACTAAGCAAAAGCTGTACTCACTCTTGAATGCCGGATACATAGGAACGGTGTTTGTTATCAGGACTGCGTCGTATCTTGCGTCAGGGGAAGAGGCCAGCTCTAGAAATGAGGGGAAAAATTGGTGCTGGATTAATGCAAAAGCTGTTAGCGTTGACGACCCTGGTGCGCAGCGCCGGGTTAATGCACAGCCTATTATGGGTTACAGCAAAACCAGTGACCCTGGAACCATTAAACGTATGAAATTTGGCCAAAAACTCTGCCAGCAGCCCCCACCCTCACAGACACACCGATTAGTGGGTTATTGACAGTGCATCATTCTTAATTCTTGCTTGTTTCCCTTTCGTCCCACAAAATAACGCAAGTGGTGGCCTTAGTCACGTCAGGCTAGGGCCCCCAGAGAAGTGAGCCTGTCCCTCACACACGGGGGGGAACTCACGTGGGGGGTACAGGAAGCCGTAGGAGATCTGCTTGTCCGCTTTGTACCCGGAGCAGGACTGACTGTGAGCCGGGGAGACGTGAATGTCCGGCCTCACACAGCCGTTCATGGACTCTGGGAGGGGAGTTACATCGACCTGAAAAAGAGGACACGCCGTATGACGACCGGCACGACGCTAACGAGCCACATGATCAGGTCGTCAACATGAAGGTCCTCTTCAAACATGTCAATCAGTGGTGAATGATCTGCACCCATTGCCAGAAGGTTATCGGTTCAAGGCCTGCGAAGGAACTAATAAGCAAGGAGCTCAACCTTAACTGAGCCACAAAAAACACACAAACAGGTTTAAAAATGGAACTCGCTTTGGGTAACTATAACCAAAAAAGTTACTTCAGCTGTGTGTAGATATTTACATACCTGCTTTGGATGGCAATTTAAGTAATGTCACTGATATAGAAGTGGCCCAAAAGATCACTTAATAATGACCACTGCCAGTGACACACAGAATGGTCTCATGACAGAACATCAGCCCAATGGGATCAGTTTTGTTGTGCAGATACGTACAACTCAACTAACCAAACTGTACAACTCTACAGGTTATGATGTCGTGCTCGTGATCAGAAAGCTGACGGTTGAAATCCCATGGCTGACAATGTAACCACTGGGCCCTTAAACGAGGCCCTTAACCCTGAAATGTTCCAGGGACCGTCTGACCTGCCTTCTGAATTGTATCTTGCTTTGGATAAAAGCATCTGCTACATACATAAATGTAGTAGTTTTAAATTGAATTACATTATTAATTTCTAGTTAGTTCTTGTACTCCTGTTGCACCATGAGATTCATAGCAGTAGTACTTAAATATCTAGTACTTCAAAGCCAATAATCCTCTTTTTCAAAGCCAGTAATCCTCTTATTCACCGCCCAATCTACCTGCTTGGCCGCCGTGTAGGACGTCCACAGCGGCATGGAGAGCACCTCGCTGTACCCGCTGATGTAGTCGCTGTGGTGCAGCACGCTGTACTTGGTGCGGAACAAGACCGCCGGCCGACCGAACGGAAGGTTTCTGCTGTCTGTAAAACATCAAAGCAAAGACACAAGACCTGACCCAAAAACGGAAAAGCATATTCAAATGAATGTTTTTAAATAATAAGTTTATTTAAAAATCAACTGCCATTTAACTGCCTTCATTCCAACAAATTACCACACAACACCTGCTATAACATTGTAATGCACGTTACGTTTATTCCAACATGCATTACACTGACACACTATTCTACAGCTACTACACACACATGCACACTGTATATCAACTAGACAGTCTTAACTGTGTCTGTATCTACTGGAATCAAATTCGCTGTGTGTGTGAACATGCTCGGCCTATAAACCAGATTCTGATTCTGAACACTGGCATTATAACGAGCAGTGACCTAAAGCCTTACCGTCTATAGCTTGCATCAGTCTTTGGTTGAGTTCTTCAACTTTGTTCTGTAACAGACAGAGCCACAGAGACTCCAGGTTATAGCCTCTTACAAGGGTGGTTTTCAAAGCTCTCTGCCCCCTATATTTTGAACGCAACTGCAAAAGATGGGAGGTAAACATGCCTCGCAAAAGAGATTCACTTCTGCAAAGACAAGACGGCGGCAATGAAGACTACAAGAGCATTTGACAGGAATGGATAACTTCATTGTTAGCAGAACAGATTTAGCTGAACAGATTTCATGAAGCACATGTAATGATCTTTATGATGTTCTATAGATCTAGAACAGAGAACAGATCTAGACACTAAAACAGATCTAGATTAATTTATTATACAATAAACATACATGTTAAGGCAAAGCTTAAAAACATGAAAGGTGCCAAAAGGTTGAAGTTTAAATGGTAGCACACAAAATATATTAAGCAATTTTACTAGGTCGTTTAAGGTACTAAAATTGTGTCATGGGAAAGATGCGACAAGTATGCCAAGTATGCCAAGTATGCCTACTGACCTTGTCGTCACAGCTGCACCCCAGGTCGTCGGTGATGGCAGTTGCGGGTATGGGGGTGGAGGGCTTGGACACCTCCTCTGGGGCAGTGGGCTTGTGGGAGGGGGTCCTCAGCAGGTGGTTCAGACTGCCATGCGTGCCGTTGTTGGGGACTGGTGTCAAGCCCAGAAGGTCTGAGAACCAGACAGGTTAGGTGTAAATAAAGAAACAGGCATCCAGCAGGACGCCTAAATTACATGCATGGGAAGGGTCCTTACCACACATCACATTGTACAGTTCAATGTTTTCAAATACAGGTACTTTTGTCTTGAACATGAAGTCAGGACCATAGCCCAAAAATATGGTCTGAAAAGAAATAAAATATATATCTCAACTCACAATAAAGTGTTTATTTTATATAACACACATAAAGTAGTAATAAAAACATGAATAACAATAAAAGTTTCATTAAAATTAAATTAGAGTTTAATTAAATTAAAGTTAAATGAAACCTACCTGCATGCTGTTGATCTTATTGTCGTAACCATGGTCACCAGAAAAACCACATTTCCCAGGATGCTTCTTGCCTTCGGGAGCTTTTCTAAGATAAACATAATTAATCATAAATGAAAAGCAGGATGCATAGACCAGGTCACGGTTGGCATCCTCAAGTAAAGCTTCCCGGCATCATCACCGGAGTTTTTGTTCGGCACATAACAGTAAGTTCCTTTAACTAAACATGAGCGGGGAAATTGCATTAGCGACACTCTAGAGACCTAGAGGAAGATGGGAGGAAATGTTTACGTTAAACATGAAACTGTTAGGGACATAGAGGCCGATATCGGCTCTGTCTTGAGTAAACATGAACTCCGTGTTTCATTTCAGCAAGCGAAAGACCCGGCATCTCGTGTCCCAGCTGCGGAGGCGCTAAACCCTCCTACTGCAAAGCTGCCAGACCTCATGCTGGTGATCAGGCGGCCTGCATCTCCCCAGACGAAAAGGTGAAAGGTCCCTTTCATTTTTCTGCTTTGCACGCCAAGGCAAACAGGAGGACTTCCCCGTATTAGACCTCTGCCAAGCACACCCTGCCCACCGCTGGCATGACCTCATGGGCTTATATTACAAGTTTCCATTAAAACAGGCATTCAAAATGCCACCCAGTTTAATGCTAGCGCCCCCTGTCTGTATGGGGGAGGAATTACCGGGCCACGTGCCACTTTCTCTCCACCAGGAGGTGCACATCCTCGATTCTCCGGTTGTTGGCGTAGTGCAGCCGATTGGGGAGGTGCTGCTTCAGGTACGGCTTGAAGTGCTGGTCTGGCTTCCTGCACTGAGAGAATGGGGCGGGGGGAAGGGGGGAGTTGGGGGTCACTCAGCAGGTAAACACGCTCCCACAAAAAGGGGGAAATAATATTGAAACGCATAAAAGATAAAAGAAGACACTCACTGTCAAATTGGCCACAATAGCTTTCGGGTCATCTGGCGATTAAATGGATGGAGAGATTCCACATTACATATGCATGTGGAAAAATATGTCAAAATAATCAACCAACTGCCGCATTTCACCCGCGGTTTAAGCTAACTAGCTAGTCAACGTTAAGTTAATCTTTAATCAGTCTGCCTGATTGTCGGGGGCTGTGCAGCACTGTTACAGCAAATGTGTAGCTGGGACCGGTTTGGATAAATGTGTGTGTGTGTGTCTGTCTGTGTCTGTATCTGTGTGTGTGCACTAACTGTGGATAACTGAATACTGAATAATACACTAATACACAGGTATGAATGGCAAACTGGGATGGAAATACTCTAAGACAAGCTGTTTATCCATAAATCTGTCCTGTTCCTGTCCTACTCCAGATTAACACAGGGTTGCACACAACCCATAAGGGACCGATACGGATCAGGGTGTAAAACACCAGGCCGTCGCCTCCCTTTCGCTCACATTTGGGATTGTTGGGTGACCTGGAGCGAATCCTTCCCAGGGATCCGGGTATCAGAATTATGTCATCCACGTTGCTAAGGTACGAGCTCAGGAACTCTGTCCTGTCACAGTGGGCTTCCTCCATTCCTGCGTAAAAACCACAAACAGGCATCACATCACAGCTGGAAAATAAGAAAAAAACAGGAGCACTGAAATGGGAGGATTGTAAACATATTACCATCTATTACCAGATTCTAGAATAGCTAGCAATTAGATAATTAGCACAGTTAGTGCCCCCTATTGGCGAATGTGGGGATTACCGTGGTCTCCCACCAGGATGATATTCACACAGCGATGAAGCTTCATCTGTTTCAGACCCTCCATCAATTGTCCGACTACCTTATCAATGTCCTTCAGTGGGCTGTTTAGCTGTTAGACACAACGATATCTTTAATATAACAGTCTTTCTTAAAGGGCCAGCTGCCACACAGCAGTCTATGGTTAATGAACCCCCCCCCCCCCAAAACAAGCTGGAGCATCCCAGCCCCCGTCCCAGATCCAACAGCGCCTCACCTCTGTGCTCTGAGGTCCCAGCTTGTGTCCGAAGGTGTCCGGCTGCTCAGAGTGCATCGCGTACACGTATGGCCTGGGCGGGGGCCGTGGGAGGAGGGGTCAAATAACTCTGTCAAACTCAATTCAGGCAGCTCTCGACTCACATAAAACCGGTTTACATAAATCCGGACATATGCAAAACAATATCGGAGGTACATAGAGTTTACGAAAGCACTAACGCAAAAAGTTGACATTGACAAGTATGTAAAATATTTATTTTGCGTGCTCTTCTAATATGTATTACGACTATATTTTTGGCTTATATGTTTTTCGCTATAAGCTGTCTTGAATGGTATGGTAAGGTAAATCTGACTTACATAAAATCTGACTCATGCAAGGGTTTGCGCAACGCATTACGTACAACTGTCACGATCTGCCTGTGTGGTTATATCTATATGACATGTTTGTTCCCGAAAAATGGCTCAACGTTCCCTTGAGAGAATCCCCTCCTCTTCACGCTAATGCAGACTACATGGGTTATGGCCATGGGATTTGGCTAGGAGACGGCGGGATTGGCGTGACACGGTAGGGAGAGTGAGTGCGGGAGAGCTGACCTCTCGTTGCTCGGGAGATGGAGCCACTGCAACATGGTCAGAACCCTCCTCTCAAGGGGAATCACTCTGCCAGGGCAGCACGGCGGCAAAGGGATGCATTCATTTATAGGAGAGACCAACAAAACAACCATAAGCAAAACAGAAGGGCAATGCACAAAGACACAATCGTGCAAACACGACACGGCCAATGGGGTATAACAGTATATTCAAACAAGTGGATTGAGGTCCAGTTAAAAACACTTGAACAACAGAGATTCATTTCTGCATTTCTTGTGTGTGGCACACAAAGGAAGATGAGGAAGTGAAGAAGAGGCGAAGAGATTCGCTGACTCGTGCTTCAAGGCACAGTGCGAACTTCCTGAAAACCTCAATCTGCTCTAGAAGCAGGCACACAAAACAGAGGCTGAGAGGCCAAGGACACTCAGTTTAAATGAAGTATCGTTCCTTTCATTCAGCTTTTTCTTCTCCAGTTCTTCAACGGATGCCCTTGTCTATGCCTCCGGCAGAACTCAGGCACCCAGACCAGGTCTTAGCAGTGCAGGGGCCTGAAAGGCCTGTGATTCTCTGAATCTCCCAGATAAATAAGCTCCTTTTCACAGGATGGAGACCAATCCGGTTCCAATAACCAACCAAAGGCCTTCTCATTAACTTGATGTATCATCAACCAACCCCAAATGGCAGTAAGCACCATCGGGGGGGGGGGGGGTTGTCATGAGACTGCCAGAGTTCAGAGGCATCCAGCTCCACATAAATATGATAATTTGCACAAATTGCTAGGAAAATAAGTTTGATTATCCCCCCCCCTGTACCTCTAGAAAAAAACATGTCAAAAGCTTCTGTGTGTGAGTATGTGTTAGTCTTTGTGTTCGGTGCTACGCTAACGCCAGCGCTAAGGCTAGCCCAAGTGGCCGGTAAGACGAGGGCAAGCATGTCCCCTGCACCCCTAAAACCGCTTTGACATACAGACACAATGTAATGAAGCATAATTGGGCCGTGATGTGTATTTATGGGGGGGTTGGGGGAGCTTCCGGCCTGGTGGAGTATGGCTGGGGGTCTGTTCTGCGGCCGTTTTCGTTCATGTGCAGAGGAAGAGCAGGAAAGCCAGCATCACGATTGATCGGCGGAGGAGGAAGGTGTCTTACACGGGCCAGAAGAAGGTTGCAGCCTTGACGCCCTGCTTCATGGAAGTGATCCAAATCTGGCAGGAGAACGTGCTGTTTAGTCCAAGCCGGTAAAATCTCGCAGACAATTAATCAACTAAAATAAACCTCAGGAAACGTAATTTCAACAACAGCGTCTCATGAACTGGTCCGGATTTTTCCATGAAAATAAAAGAATTAACATGAAACTTACTAACCTGATAATTGCTTAACCACACTTTCTCACTTATATTATTGTTCTAGAATCATTTAAACAAGTTTGTAGTAGCACTGATTGCTTGGTACACATGATGAATCTTTCGAAACGAAAACAAAGCTGGTGGTTGAATTTGTGCCAAGCCCACCGTGCTTGAACAGAAGCTCAGATTTAAAGACGGGCGTCCAGCTGCCGCTCAGGCTGTACCAATCGCTCACAGATGCAGACACAGTTTTCATCTTCCCATCCACACAGTTCCCGCGCCTGGGGGAGAGACAGGTACAGGACTCACAGGCTGCCCGCCCCACCAGCGGTGATTCAGCTTCTCTCGACCTCGCAGGTGGAAGTTGGCGTCGAAGACGGGGTCGTGCATGGAGTTGCCTACTATCCCATGGGATTCAGGATAAAGACCCTAACAAGGAGAAAAAAGGACAAAAAATGCATGGACTGGATAGTGCCACAACATGGTGACATACAATAGAGAAAAATCATAAGCATAAAATGAAAAGGGAAAGCTTGCAATTTCTAAGCAGTTCAGCCATTCATCCATGACACGGATCAGCAAAAAGGGAGGGAAAAGTTACACTTTCCATCTATAATCTGTTCATCTATCCATCCATCCGTGCATCTTCAGTGACCGTGTGGTGATCACTCTAGATGGGATGTCAGTCCGACATGGGTGTGCACTTCAGTCATTTTTAAATGCTACATCCAGAGATATCTTGACAGCGATGCAGCCTGCGTATAAACAAATGCAGGAATACCTCCAGTGCAGTGGCTGAGAACACGTACCGTTGCGAGGGTGTATAAATTGGGGAAGGTCTTGGTGGGATACATGGGTCTCATGTAAGGCGCGTGAGTGCCACAGGCTCCTAAAAACCACAAAAACCAACGAAGAAGATAAACGCATCGGACACCACACGTTTTTGCAGTCGAACAAAAGAAGTGATGTGTTTTTATATATATAGTTTTAATTTATATATACTATAATTTTTCGTTAATAGGTGCATGCAGAACTCGAAAATTAACCACAGGCACAGAATATAGAGTGGTGAGACCGGCTACTACTGGACCAGCTGTGGAGTAACTTGTATGTAACAAATATTTTTAATTAAAGAACACAGTGCAATTGAAAGGGTGCGAGGACTGTGACTTACTGAGTTTTTCAAAGTTGGGGATCACACTGCTGCCCCGTTTCATGTACGAGGCCCGGAAACCATCCACAGAGAGCACGATAAGAGGAGGCCGGACAAAGCTAACGAAGGAACAAGAATAATATTAGAGAACTAGTCACGTTCTGCACACGCTCCAGTAATAGCTAACCCACCTGACAACACAAGAATATTAGCTCTGAATTTAGACATTTTCAGTAGTGTTTTAAGTAAAAGCTAAGTGTCAAGTTTTTTATTTTTAATTTTAATTGACTGAGTCGGGCATCTCTCAGTCTGTGGCCGGTGACCACCGGACCACCGCTATTTTGCATGGGTTGGCAGCAATAACTGCCCCAGTCAAAGCAGTGGCACCACAGAGCCTGACGGGGGATGCACAGCGTCAAGACAGGATACAAATTGTTCAGCCTGTCAATCTGATCATCTGCCCTTGCAAAGGCACCAACCCGAAAATAAACACAGTATGACACTGGGGGGAATTGCTTCCCCAGAGAAGAAACCAAGATTCACCATGAAGAAATCCACACACAAATTCAAAGAGAACATCAATAAGCGACTCATACTGGCATGATAACTCACCCTGCTGGACATTCTGGGCTTTTAATTTCCTCACACTCCTCCTGCAGCCACGAAGTGTCACCTGTCACGGGGAGCAAGGACTGGTCAAAAGAGCCATCACTTGAAGACACGATCCACAGGCGCAACCCACACAACGCAGGCGCTTAGCGCCGCAACTGAAAATGCAGACTTCAGACGTCTGTTTTTTGTGATCCATGCAAATATTCAACAGAACACCTGATAGCTTTTATTCACTGAGGGATTTTCACTCTAAATTAAGTTCACGCACACTCGACTGGTACTCCCTCACCTTGCTACCTTCACTAACATTAATGATCACGATAACTTTTTACTCTCTAGCCCATTGCTGGGAAGGCGGAGGGTCCCCCCACGCACCTTTGCAGAGTGTCCGGTAGTTGGTGCAGCAGTCCCCCGCGGCCAGGCAGTCCTCGGAGCAGTGGCAGGCGTGTTCGTCGTTGCGCGTCTCCCCGCAGCGGTCCTTGGTGCATTCGAACCCGCCAGCTGACGGAAACACGGGAGCGATACATGGTCACGGTCGTCCGCAATTCAACTCTGACACCATTACACCCTAAAAATGGTCCCACCCTAATTTCAGAACAGCATAGGGTAGTTATAAATGTGCAGGGCGAAAGGAAATCTTAAAGCAGAAATAAAATCTATACAAAATCAAACGTCAACGGTCTGATAATAAGTTGCGTACAGTATAACAATGCATTTTAACCAAGCAACAATATTCAACCTAAATTTACTCATTACCAAAATTATTGCGTGCTGCTTTTTTGTAAATTGCAAGTCTGTCATTTATAGAGATGGTGGAAATCCGTGACTTAGTAGTAAAGGTGATTCTACGTACCAGTTTTCAGACAATGTGCATCGAAATCGGAGCAGCAGCTGTTGTACGTCTTGCACAGGTTGTCGCAGCGGCAGTTCGGCGCTTCGGCTTCCTCCAGCTCGAAGCATCTGTTTTTACACGATCCCGAGGTGCTGATTACCGGGGTGTCTGAAAGGGGTGTAGGGTTATGATAGGTTAGGTGTTAGCGTCGGATACAACCGATTAAAGCTGATCTTTGACCACAAACTACTCCATATACACTCCAAACAGTGTATATTGTATACAGTGTAAAAGCCCTGATGCATAAATTCGTATACCTGCGCGTCATTAGCCGTGTTTTGCAATAATATTCACAAGAGCCTAGTCACTAGTGAGCTAAGGGTATCAAACATGTTTATGTACGGGTAAATATATAGACACAGTTTTGACATTTTCCAAAAATCCAAATGTCAATCAAAATGATTAATGAATTGGGCACAACACGGTGCACCTATATACACATTGAGCTATTATGCATTTGTAATGAGTGCTTACATATAATCATTTGTGACAAGAATTGCATTAGAAGTTATTTCAATTAAAATTTTGTAGCGTAATTCCTTTTAATCAGAAAGGCATTAAAGCAGTTTGCAGCTGGACACGCGGGTGTATATTTCTCTTTTAACATCTGACATATTTAAAATGGCATTAGCAAATTTGACCCAAAGTTTCTTGCTGGTAAAACGGCCAAAATAAATAAACCCTGTCCAAAATACACTTCACCTTGGCTTTCCGTAAACAAAAAAAATAGACGGCTGATTTATCCACATTAGTCTGTGAGCACAATGTCACGATCTGCCGAACATACACGTCCAGCTTTTCCTACATCAGCAGGGTACAGGTTTCCGTTAACTGTTTCCATGTCAAAATTGTCCTTAGTACCCTGAATAACGGAGTCTTCCACGGAAAAATTACGGTTTCACTTTCGATGTGAAAAGTAAAAGCAAAGTCCCCTTTTCTTCCCAGCAAAACCGATAATACGTTTAAGCAACCAAAGTGTAACTGTTTATTGCACTTCTCGGTTATTATGCATGCAACACATGTACAAAACAGCAGGAACTCGTGTACAAACTAGCAACTTAAATTGCAAAGTGGGTGTCTTACTTTTGGCTTCGTCTCCTTCTCTTGATCGTCTCTGTCGGTTAAAAACAAATCCTGACGAGTTACTGTATGTAGAGACAAAGGTGAAGACATAGAAGACCTTCGGGAAAAAGAAATAATGTGTTAAAAAGAAATATTACAATCAAATCCTGTTAGAATTGTCTATAATAAAAACTGACACCGAGAATAGAGTCTAAATATGCAACACTGTAGTTCCCCTACGGCTCACAAAACATTAAAAATGTGAACATTTTTTAGAATAGGAATAAAATTAAGAAACAAAATAAGAAAAATGCACCCAGTCGGTGCAAATCAGATTCTTAAATAGGCTATTGTCCATCGGTTCGAGCCCGATACCTGTTTAATAGACAGATAGTATTTCCCCATTTTGACAAGTCAGTTCCAAGTTGCTGCCTGGTGTTGAACAATGACCCAAACTGCTGGCGCTGCAGTTGGCTGCCCGGGTTTTGTAATCGCGCCGGTCCCACACCAATCAAACCGACCCGGGCTCTTTGGAACCGGCTCCGCATCAATGGGACCGATTGTAAAGAGCGCAGTTTGCTTTTGATTGGACGACGGTGCTGGGATGTGGTCTATACCCCCCCGACGCACGACAAAAGCCTTTTCTAATGGCCAGGATTAGGGTCTTAAACAATTTCCCTTGCTCTTGAATGTTCGTGTGTTTAAAACGCTTGACATTGTAAATGTAATTTAAAAATCCATTCAGGGTGCTGGGAGCTGGGGTTCTGTTAATGAATTTAAGTGCGCGCATTTCTCCTCTTTTAACCGGTGATGAATTACAAAAGCGCCGAGAAGTGACCTGACCTGTCAGCGCCTGAAGTGTAAATCGACGCAGCAGGTTAAAGATCGGAACATTTCCTATGCAAAATAAAAGCCGAGTTAGGGACTCGGATGAGTGATTCTCTTTATGGTGAAATTTGTTTCCCGATGAAAGAGGGACAATAGGCCTACATCTATAGCATTTGATCATCAAGTTTTCTTTTTAAGAAAGTACCTTGCATTCATCATTGGCATTACAGCCGTTCACGCTTTCGGTCACTTGGCTTAAATAGAGAGGTAAATAGTGAAAGTGCACCACTGTAACATTAATTGCGTTTTGTTCTCCTCGTAGATTAACATCCACGTTTTTTAAGAAGGCAGGAGTGAATTCAGGCTTGGGCTGTGGTACCAAATGACTCTGATCGAGACCCCCCCCTCCCGGTCTGGTAATTGTAGGACTAACTGAACTGGTGGGTAAAAAATCTTAAGTTAACTGATTTACCTGATCGGTTTTGGCCACTTGATTGTTATTATTTTTTTTTTTAAAGTTCAGCTCCAAGTCATGTAAGGGAATTAAAATGACACTTTCTGGACGGAGTCCCTTGCACGGGGGTGGGAGTAGATTAAGTAAGACTGCCAATAAATTAAAAATGAAATCTGTTGAGTGTATTACTGAAATGAAAGCTGTGCTGTAAATTAATAGACATTTTCATAATTATAAGAAAACATTCGTGTTGCGAAATACAACTGGTACAAACTGGATATAGACGTAAGAATATATGCAAGTTACAAGAAAAACAAAACTCGTAGTTTCGGCAGTCCGTGTATTTCTTTTTGTAAAACGAATTTTTCATCCGGTAAATGCAGGATTACTGTAATTCTAATATATTCTTTTAAGAAATCTTTACTTTTACTGAAACAAACACATATTCCCTCTTCAGATTACTCGAAGAGGTTTTAGGAAAGCATGCTCTCCACTCCATTTCAGCTTTAGCTTGGAGTTTTAAAAGTAACATGAACAGTAGAAAATCAACACTTAATTAAAGCAAACACTAAAGGTCTCAGAGCCCAAACCGCTAATTGCCACAAGGTAGAGGTATTTCAGAGGGACCCCAGTCTGTCCGAATCTGTTCAAAAGATCCGCTCAGAATAAAAGTAGAATCATTTCTGCTCTTCTCCTAATCTTACATTCATATCCATTCATTTATGAATGCCTAATCTGTAACTACAATGAAATAATCACCAAGTTCATATAAACATCAGAGCATCAATTAATAGATGATATATGGTCTGCCTCAATTGTACACTACCTTGGACAAAATATTTGGCTAAATACACAAATAAATAATAAAGATCAAATGATAAAAAAACAAATACAGACGCTCCTCTACTTACGAACTTTCAATTTACGAATTGTAAATCCAAATTTTGTTCATTGGGCTCCCGTTTCCTGTCCGCAACATAATTTTTTTTTTCTGCGCGCCAATTCCGCCTAGTACGACTTCTGGCCGCTACTCCCGCCGCGCAGCAGCGTAGCGTGCGGACTCCCAGCATCCTAGTTCTTAGTACTTGCCTATACCCTTAAAACGGTGTTGAATAACGACTTACGAACATTTCAAGTTACGAACGGCCGTTCTCATTCGTAAGTAGAGGAGCGTCTGTATAGCAGTTAGAAAACAAATATTTCAAATTATATTTTAAGAATGTATTTTTGTCAGAGGTCTGTGATGAAGTTCAATGTTTCTTAACCCAGTCCTTGGAGACCCTCAGACAGCTCACATGTACCAAACAAGAACATCGAATACTTGGTTCAGGTATGTTGGTATGTTGAGAGCTGGGAGATTGCAAAAATGTAGACAGTCAGAGAGTCCCCAAAGACTGGGAAGAGAGACATTGATACAGACTTTGATCTATAGATTTTGAACAGGCATTTATTGGTTAAGGTGAGTCACATACAACTGGATTGATCCACTAGCTTCCAAGCGCACTGCATGTTACACTGGTGTCAGCTTGCCCTGGTACCTGAATGAGAACCAGTGCATCACTGCACTTTGCTAAATGCCCACCTGCCGTCGCTCGCAGTGCACCACTGAAATCTGCTTCTTTTGTCCTGTTACGCGTTCAAGACTGCAGATCTGTGAAAACAGAAATTGGGACTTGGGGGGGGTGGGGGGGTTTGTGCTGCGGGCCAAGAGCTCCGCCAGCAAAGCTAGACCCCCACTGGGGACTGTGCCTGATGTATTACACAGAGGGTCTGATGAATTCAGTGCGGTTTTAACATTTCAACGCTGCGCTAATGGCAGCTAATCTTCGTAAGTTGTGGAGAAGTCATTTGGCAGGCCGCAGAGCAATAAACTAGTTTCAAATCCTCACGTTCCTTGGGTCCTACTGCATTCATAACTAATTCAGGCCATCATAAAGGCCACATTTAACATCTGTTCACATAACAGTTTAACCAGGACTGCCACGTGTGGTTCCCTTAAGCCATTAAGCTCTTGATCAGGGGTGTCAAACTCCAGTCCTGGGGGGCCGGAGCCCTGTGTAGCTTAGTTCTTTCCCAGTTCCACCACAAATGACTGTGATCTGTGTGATAATTAGCAGGAGGAGATGAATCAGGTGTGTTAAATGAGCGGAAACCCAAACATGTGTAGGGCTCTGGCCCCCCAGGACTGGAGGTTGACACCCCTTGTTCTAGATGATGCTAGAGGACGTCGTCCCAGTGTGTCAGCAGTTTTGCCCCCCCCCAAGCTTCTGGGGATGGCTCAGGTCTGCTGTATACCTCTGCTTGTCGGCACAGACAGGGGGGTGGTGGGTGTGGGGGTGGTGAGTTACAAGCAAGGGGAGGAATGTAAAGGATACCAATGAGATACACGGTTCTTTAAAATTGGGATTCCGCTGTTCCGCTGCACAATTTCTTTACGAAATAAAAACAGGAATGTGAACCAATCCTTTGGCTGATTTGGTTATTTTATTTCTGACAGTTGTGGTCATATGGGGTTGCTAAATTGTAAATACAAAAAAGAAAAAAATAAATCTAAAAACTACAATGAAGAGAGGAGGAGGGAAAATAGTACACAGAAAATGTAAGAAAAATGACAAAATAATTTTGAGATTAAAACCAATTGAAGACACAATGCATTAAACAGGTATAAGGTCAACCGTACATCAAATATGACCATAAATAAAGACAGGCTCTAATCCTTTTGTCCGGAGCAGAATTTTAAGGATTTAATGTCACATTCCAGCCAAAAACCTAGAACAGAAGGGATGCCTGCTTTATTAAAATAAAAAAATCCCCAGGTCCTCAATGTTTGCATGAATATCAAAATCACAAGACATGAACGTAAGGAGGACATTCTATGGAACATTTTAAAAAACGTACGAAATTCTGGCCAAGAACATCAACAGCTCCCCCCTTGCAAGACTGATGCATGTTTTTATTAAACCAAACATGGAGGTAAAAATGTTCTACTTTCCCTACTTTCCTAAGAAGCTTGCGATTCGCCTTCCAGGACTGTACATGTAAGTATTAAAAAACTGGAAAGATTCATGGCTGTCAGCAGGAAAGGTCTGAGCCGTTGCACGGTGAGAGTTCCCTCACACAGAACTACTTCCAAAGCACTCCTTGTTCATTAAGGGCAGCCAGCCCCCGCCCCCGGGGCCATACAGTCGACAAGGAAATTGGGACATGAGCTCCAGCTGCCCGGGGGGGGGGGGGGGGAGGCCCCTGACAGAGAACACGAAAGGCAGACCTTCTGGTATCGGAGGTTCCATTCAATTTTGGTGGCGTCCTGAGAGAGGGCAGAGCGAGCGTTTGATAGCTGCCCCCTCGGAGGCAGGGGGGGGGCAGCACCCGGTGATGTACCTGAGGGCAGAGGCGAGCCCCTCCTTCAGTCGGAGAGCGAGGGCGAGCGCAGGGAGCGGCCGCTGGCGGGGCTGTTGGTGAAGGCGTGAGCGTCCCGCTCGCGTTCCCGCTCCTTGTCCTTGTCCTTGCTCTCGTGTTTGTGCTTGTGCTTGTGTTTGTGCTTGTGCTTCTTCTTCTTCTTCTTGTGGTCGTGGTGGTGATGGTGGTGGTGGTGGTGCTCGCTGCCGCTGTGTTTGGAGCTGGTAGACTCTTTACTGAAAATCGGGAGGGGCGTGGCCGGCAAGGACAGGATGCTCGGCTCTACCGATGGGGGCTCTTTACCTGCCGGGGTGGGGGGGGGGCACAATAAATCAGCCAGCTTAATGGACGTGGACCAACATTTTTCATCTGCTGTTGACATTGCCCAGTAAAAAACATGTGAATATTTGAAAAACAGTTCAGACGTTCATCACCAACATAAATAAAGGTAAATGAACATTGTCCCCCATCCCAACCTGGCGTGGAAGGTCTCTCCAGCATATTGAGGTGATGATATATGAAGGCCTGGCTGTCATGAACCGTGTCCATGTCGATGTCTTCCTCCTCCTGGACGCTGAACTGGACAAGACAGATGCACATGGTCAACATCATCCCACCAACCAATGGGACGCATTGAGATGCACGGTGCCTCGGTCTGGCTGAATAAGCAGACTCATTTCAGGGTAAATTTACACCTGGGTGTCAGTGCGGACAGGGTGCAGGCTCATAGTGACCCTGGACTGGAAAAAGGATTATGGAAAAAGCCACTACTAAAAGCCACCAGTTAGCACAGAGATGCATGATCTACTGCAGATGATTCTGGGGTCGACCGTGTCCCAGCACCAGTGATCACCACCACTCACACTGACTTTTTGATGGGGGCCCCAGAGACGACAATCCCGCCCCTGGGTGGGGGCTCCTCACTCTGATATTATATTGGACTTCAGTGCTGCTGTCGGGCTACAGTACCTGTCCAGGTTCTGGTGGTGATCCCAGGGGTGTGTCCGCCTTCCGTTTTAGGGGAGGTGGAATGATGGTGCTGGGGGGGGGGTCCATGGGAAGGTGCTCCTCCTCCAGCTGGGGGGCAGGGGGGGGCGTGATTACATAAAATAAATACCATGTACAAGGCACTACAGTCTATTGTTTAAGTGATACTGGACAATTACAGATAACTGAGCTTAAAGTATCTGAATGTGCCACTTGCCTGTGATATTCCTACCCATTACCATACCTGAAATTGCAGCAGTATCTATTAAAACTGCCTCCTTAGTTAAGACTGCAATTTCAAATGGAACTGATCGTCAGCTGGGCTCACTCCTGTACATTAACCCGCACTCACGTTGCCGGGGAAGCCCGTGACAGGGGTTCCGATGCTGCCGTTGCCGCTGAGCTCCGTGGCGGCCGTCATCCCGCCGGGGCCCACGGCCTCGGGCTTGATGGTGGGGTTGAGCACGGCTTTCTTCTCCTTGAGGTTCAGCACCAGGCCCAGCTCGGGCAGCGGCAGGCAGGACGGCCTGCTCAGGCCGAAGAGCGTGTGGTACAGGTTGACCGCGTCACACCGCAGTCGCCAGTCGTGGGAGGTCCCTGGCGTGCAAACAGTAAGTCGCGGTAAGACCATCTCCGCTAGGGGAGGGACTGAACCAGCTTCTCAGTCTGGATGTTATTGTGCTGCTGGAACATGAAATCACATATATGCACGCACTCAAACACACATCAGTGTTTCTCAATCCAGTCCCCGGGAACCCAAAGTCAGTCCATGTTTTTGCTCCCTCCCAGCTTCCTGCCAGTCAGTCTTATTGGAAGCTGGGAAGGAGCAAAAACATGGACTGACTTTGGGTTCCCGGGGACTGGATTGAGAAACACTGATATATACAATAACTGAAGGATTTTACAGATTAATGTTCTGTAGCAGCACTTAAGCAGGAAATAAGCAGATGGTCACGGTTTTATGAAGTGATAAACAGACTGCTGTTGCCTGCAAGTCGCTAGAAATTGAGACATGACTATGAAGAACTTGTCTCACTAAAATGGATGTATCACCAAGCAGGATGAATGCAGCAACACTATTTTAAAACACTGGGTTGTTAAGCTCCAGGTGAGTTTCCTGAAGATAGAAGGCAAACGGATTAAAATTTGCTCTAAAACCACAACAGTTCCACTGAATAACAGAACCACCCATCAAGTGGGCAAGCAGGTTGGTGACAGGACCCTTTGTGCTACCTTTGGCAGAATGACTCCAGCTTCACATGGACATCTCCTCTCCTGTTTCAATATCCTTTATCTGTTGCTTGTTTGGGGAGTCGTCTTGGTTTGCTTTAGTGGATGTTTTATTTTTACTTCTTGTATTGCTCTGAAGAGGATCTTTAATTCTGGACAGCGTGATTCTGGGAAGTCACTGTCTTGCTTCTAGTAAGAGAAGAACTCCTGCTGTTATTTATTGAGTAGGGTTTATCTTTGGTTGCCCATGTCAGTTTGGTCTAGTTCTAAAGGACTTCCTGACAACGGAAAGCAGAAGACTTGGTAAGGTTAAAAGATAAATCCACCTGTTTCCATGCCTCGAGGTAACTCACTCTTTTGACACACTTAACGTTTAGATTTCCTTTTCTCTAATCCATACAGTGCGATCCCTTTGAAGAATTCAGATGGATACCGTAACTATTGCAAAATCTCACTGGTACGGCAGTTTCCAACTTCGTGACCTTCCTCACCATGTTTACAGCAGATACGTTTATTTTTGCAGGTTTTAAATCCATGACCGTATTTCTGGCGATAAACATCGGAGAGGGTTGGCGATAAACAAATCCACCAGAATACCCAGATAGCCTATTTGAATCCTGGTTGATGTGGCCTACTAAACGAGATGATGTAAGTTCCTCTTTTGATAGTCCGGTTTTCTTGTCTAATTATTATCGGTCTAACATTTATCACACCTCGTTGCCTTAGGTCAATAACCCAATCTTCCTCATCCACGTCATCCAGTTCTCTGGTGTGGATCACACCTTTACTATTGTTTAAAGTTGGACGAGGAGCTGCTTGTAGGCCAACACCAGCCAGCAAATCAGCATGCAGCAAACAATCAACATGTGCCTGGCCAGACTGCAGGCTTTTTATATCCTTTAAAGTGCCAACTGTCTCCAATATGCCTCTCCGCATGGCAAAAAGAGGAAGCTTGGTCATAAATATATCAGGTGACAGAGATTCTATTATTATAAACCTTGGCCAGTGTCAATTATTTGAGACAGTCGTAAATCTGTTTTCCAAAATGCAGGCACCATCACGGTGTAGAACAATATTTTTGGGGTGTGCAGCCATATCTGAATAACTTTAGTTTACCATCCCTACTCCCCACCCACCTTGGAGGCCAACAAGGGGATGCACAGAGTTGCAGACCTACTGCTGATTAAGCATTATGGATATATGGATGGTTTACTTGAGCAAAGAAGCAGAAGTTGCTTAACTTACTCGACCGGCCCTTGGCCAGTGCATCCTAGAATAAATTTCCCAGGATGTGTCTTGATTGGACTGGGCCTTTGCAATCTCCGGTCTAGGTGATGTAGGAGTTTATTTTTTTTAAATCAAAGAAGCCACAGCAAACCGTTCTAAGGGACGACGACATCTTCATCTAACATCTAACATGATGAGGTCTAATCTGGGTCCTCACAGACAGGTGACACTGAAAAACGTAATCAAGGTGTAATGTGACTCATATATATCCAAAACGATTCACTGCAACCCTAGTAAGGGAGGCTAAAGGGTTGTTGACTTTTGCCTGAGGAGGAGACCCTGACACTACAGACGGCAGGAATGTGTCATACTTCCTTTCGTGAGCTCCCACTAAACTGGTAGGTCCTGGGCTGTACCTGGAGGTTCTGGAAGCAACAGTGGGTCCTACACAGTACTCGCTAGGAGAAGCTAATGAAGTGGCTAAGATGGCCCTGGAGTTGCCAAGACAACAACACCAGCGCATATTCCTCCCCAGGTCTTGGAAATAACAACAAACCAGAAAGCTGATATTATGGACCCTCAATGCCTCAGGTCTGCCAGAGTAGGCTGGACCAGCACGGCTCTGACCACAGTGTCATCCATGCGGCACCACGCGCTCAGCTTCAGCGAGAGCAATTTCACAGCTAGAAGGCCAAGCAAGACCCCATTACCGTTAATTTGCAAAAGATGGGGGGGATAACACCCCAAGCGTGATCAATAGGGCATTAAGTGGAGAGGCCGAAAGCTGGCATAGTCTGGCAGAGGGAGAGTGGGAGGGGGGGTCCGCGCAGGAGTAAAACCTAATGTTGAAATTTACACCTCTGACCCTTGCCGTCAAAACGCGGCCGTAGAATAAACCCAGACGTGGCCAAACGCTGTAAAACAGCTCATTTTCTCGAGTGCGGCCAGTAATCTGAAACGGGTCATAAACCGCTCCTCTCTCCCCCCTCCCCCACCAGTCAGCTTGAAGGGGAAGGTTTATGAGTTTCTCCACGTCTCGGGGGAACGTGGGGCCTGCTGGTAGAGAGGAAGGGTCACACACAACAGGGCAAACGGCAGTCCGATGTCAGCAGGTAGCTGGGATCCGGCGGGCTGGGCCGGACCAGACTGGACCAGGCCGGACCTGGCGGTGGCCAAAGCTCACCTGAGTTCATTAGCTTCCACAGCTGGTCCACCAGCGCCTCGTTGCAGAGGGACGATTCGGCCGCCTTGGTGAACGGCGGGTTTTTAGCCAGCAAGCTCAAGACTTTGTGCCTAAAAGAGAAACAGTGACAAGACTGGGGCTTGCTATGCTAATCCTGCATCTGCCATCGCAGATGGCACTTTTATATAAGATGTTACATATCAGACCAGTAGACATCGAATGGTACTTTATGACTTAGCATCAAATGCACTACACCAGCATTTCAGATACTTAAGCTAGGAGGAGAGACCAGGGGGAGGGTCTCCATACTATATGGGCAGAAAGGTAAGCAGGCCGGAGAGCTCACCTCACGTAGTGCACAGGGTCATTCTGCACCATATCCAGCAGCCACTGCAGCTCCCCGGAGCTCCTGTCCACTGCCAAGACACACGAGGTGAAGGAGGCCTTTCAGAGGGCCTTTCAGCAGGCCGTGCGGCTGATTAACGAGGTCTATCCTAACGACGCAGCGCGTGGTGAGGTCGGGGGTGCGAGCGCAGTGGGGGGTCCCCACATGCCCACGGAACAGCAGAGCGGGCCCGTCTCGGAATAAAAGGTGCCATTTACCGCGGGGGGGGCAGAGGAGGATGGGAGCGGGGGCTGTAAAACGTACGCTGGAGGAGGGAAAAGCCCCGTTACAAGGCAAGGCCATGATCCGAAAAGAGGCTCAAAGGAGCCGTGTGTTTGGGACACTTAAGGGAACCAAATGCAAATTCTGTCTGTTCATAACAAGCTTTCGAGGTCGGCCTTAAACGAGAAGGTCAGGCAACAACCCACTCAGCTTGGCTCCACATCTGTTACTAGTATCTCTGAAAACGGCAAATTTCAGAGGAAAATATTTATAAGGAGTCTTTGACAGCATCCCCAGGGAAATACACCTTATCTCTCTCCTCTAATTGGCAAGACACCGCTGAAACTCAAAACAAACAGCCTGAAAGACGATCGGGTCATCCTTTCTCGTAAATCCCGAGTGCCACTTTTTCACTGAGGTTTTTTTCCACATAAAATATAATGGATGTTTTCATCTCCCCCAAAAACAAAGTCAGTAAACTCACGAGGTCTGTAATTAAAACCTTTCAGGCTTAAACATTTCATTTCATCTTGCAGAGAGAACTCACAAAAGGCAGCCGATCAGATGCGTGCAAATCCCACACGTCTATCACATAATAGAGTCTCACACACTTTACATTTAAAATATTTGAAAGGTTGTATCGAGTATAAAATACTTTTGAGAAATTATTAGTGGCACCATCGCTTTCATGTTTCACATTTGTGCAAGAGAATTTCAATCCAGACTTATCAGAGGCGAGGGGTCAGTACCTCTGGTGTAATCCACTACGGCCTCTAGGGCGGCGACGCGTACATCCACAAAGTGCCCGTACTCGGCGTAGGACTTGAAGAGCGAGGGGTCGCTAGGGATGTGGCCATTCTTCTGCAGCATCCTGATGGCTCTCAGGCAGCTGAAACACATACATTGCCGTCCCTGTGATTAAACCCTACATTCATTTGCTCTAAGCATGGGTGGGTGATTCATAGTGGTTGGGTGATGTCACCACCGGCACAAATACATCACAAATTTTCAGATTTATTCTCACTTTAGTCTTGTTTTTGGCACTTGGGAAAGGAGATGCCGTTTTGAATTATACAGCCGACCGTGTGCCCAAACAAGACATCTAATACCGCCGTCGAGGACTGAAATCCATCTCAGCTCACCCTTACGAGATGTTCACTGGACCATTGGTGGTGCAGAAAAACAAAGGCTGACATCACCAGAACATTCAGCTATGAAAACTAACCTCTTCTTCTAATGGTGTAAAATAAAGATTTGTCCCCAAAGTTACCCAAACAAAAGCAGACCTCAGGTCAATGTTGTCAGGGGTAATGATGAAAAAAACTATTACCCAATGATATGTTTTCAGCCGGTGAGTGACAAGCGAGGCGACGCTTCAGGGGCCAATCAGCTTTCAGCTGGGGCCCCTTTCCATAAGTCCTGACTGTGCCCTGCTTCAGTTACCTGACTGTGATGGTGTTCCTGAAGCTGGGCAGAAGCTTCTCCATGTTGAGGAAGCGCGTGATCTCCTCAAGGATGAGGCGCACGTCAGCATTCAGGTTGTCCACTGTGCGAACCTCGTTGCTGATGCTGATCGCCGGGGTCAGTGAATTGGTGAGGGCGTCGATCAGCTCGGCGCGGTAGTAGTTATCCGAGAACTGGGAGATTGAGACAATGAATGCCCAGTTAAGTTCCCCTGCTGCTCTTATAGAAGTCAGCATCAAATTCCATTGACAGGGACATTCACGGGAGAGACTGACTCATGAGAGGTTCCTCACCTTGTTCTTCCGGTTGTCGTTGTACTTGATGAGGTCCAGGATGAAGTTCAGAACCTCTTTTGGGCAAAGATTCTGAACATCTCTGAGCAAAGCCATTGCAACTGGCATGGTCTGCAATCAGGTGGAGCAGAAACGGTGCATAAATCAGTGCAAAAGGAAAAAAGGAAGAGGGACCAAAGATTTTGTGCAAAATTACACCAGTTCATGAATCTTTTGCTACTAGTTGACCAAGCGGAATGATAATTGATACTTTTTATTGATCCCTGTGGGGAAATTCTCTTTACGCCTCCTCCATCTTGCGCTCCATGACCTGCAAGTTGTCTGTGAAGGGCAGCCACCCACAGCAGCGCCCAGGGGGTTAAGGGCCTCACAGACCCACAGACGTGCGGCGACACATGAACCAGGAACCTTCTGATCACAGGCACAGAGGCTTAACCCACTTGGCCACATGCTGCCCCCATATGCCCCCCCCCCTTCTCCCTTTAATTATCATAATCCATATATTAGGAAATAAATATGTAATGCCATACCGCTTATTAAATACAGGAATCCGGGTTTATTTTAGGGCTGTCGCGATTAGTTGGCATCAATGTTTTAAATCGATGCATCATTTTTTTATTTTAATATAATTACCTTAATGTTTTCTAAAACACTTCAGTTCATTATAACAAATGTTTTCCTTTAATATCAGTACGTAATTATGGGAGTTGTTCAAATTATCACAAAACAAAAAGGTGATTTTACTGCGCAAAGTGAGACGGCATAGCACGGCGGTATTAGCGCTATGCACGAGCACCTTCAGTGAAAACACACCGGTGCCATTCTACACTGGCAAACCACCGTGTTGTCTGTTCATGTTCATTAAATTACCATTAGTATGGAGAGCTTTTTAATAGCTTTTGAAACTGCTAAACACACTCAATATTAAAGCCATAAAGTTGTCTGCCTGCTACTTTAGAATCTTCATCGGATAAGTGTTTGTGAAAATGTTTAGGCTAAAATTTGGTCTTATTCTAATTCTTATTCTAATTCTATTTATTAACCAAGAGGATGCGCCAAATTTGTACAGATTACTAACTTCTGTGCATCACAATATGCATGTCATTTAGGCATAGCACTAATTTGCTTATCAAATTGTGGGCGAAACTAATGTGTATATAGTGCTGAAAAGCCACTGTACGTTATCCAAAGTCCTGCAATGGCATACAGTTTGCTGCTAGAATAAAATTTACTTAAACGGTGAAGTTGATTTTCCGAAGCAAAATCAATCATTTAGATTAATCAACCATTTGATAAAAGAGTCGACTGATTAATCTATTGAAAAATAGTCTTTAGTGGCAGCCCTAGTCTACTTTTGTACTACTGATGAGATTTTATTACTGTAAATCAATAGTGAACTGCAAGACCTCGGCGGAAAGCATTTCCATTGAGCTCTGGCCAGAAGATTCATCCGTGTTCCCAACACAGGAGCCGCATGAAGACACCTAGATATGGAGGCATTACCTTCTGCAAGAAGTAGCTCTGAAAGTTAATGAAGTTGTTGGTCTTGACAATGTTGGGGCAGCTCTTGCAGCAGAACATTCTGGTGAACAGGGACTTCATGGCAGGTGGTCCCGTCCATGTGCTCATCATCGAGTTGGCGATCTGCCGTGGAGATCAGACAACCGCTGGTCAGCGTCTTTATGGGGATATTGCACAAGATCCATCCATCACACAGTTTTGAGATTTCATCTACTTTCTGAAAGATTCTTCAGTGTCTAACAGTGACTGGTGAAGGAGGGGGCAGAATATGGGGCCGAATATGGGACAGCAGCCGCTTCAGAGCAGGCTGGGTAACAAAACGCAACCCTGGGTGTTTACATGCGGACATCAAGCACCAGGGCCAACCATGAGTCAGAGAGACATCACCTGTCAAGAATGTGAAACAGGTACTTTGACTCTGTGGAATAACAAAGGTATCATCATGATTGAACAGCCCAAACAGGACAAATTAGAGGATCCCCTTAAACGCTTGTGTCATAACCGAGATCCTTGTCTGTTCCTTGGTTTTTTCAAAAAAAAATAAATCAGAAATGGAAACCCTGAGAAAAATAAAGAAAGAAAGAAAGAAAAAGGCCAGTCAAGACAGTTCTGATTAGTGCCTGGAGGGACTCCATGTGCTCGTTGATGCTACCGTTGGAAAATAACTAGACCAACCCAATTTTATCCCTGCAATGATACAGCAGCAAGGACTATAGCTTCATTATGCAGCCCCCTCACCTGCAGATTAAAAAAAAAATGATGCAAACACCCAGTGCGGAATTAATTGCACGACCAGGCGCGAATTTGCTGCGTAATGCTCACCTGCCACAGACATATATCGCGATTCCAGAACTAAGCGGAATAATTAACTGCCGACAGCAGCAGAAGCGCACGGCACGTCTGCGTTGGGGATGCAGCCTTTCGGCAGCAGGGATTTACTCTGCACCAAATTATAGGCCAGGCCGGAGGAACGAGGGATAAAGAGACGGTACGGCGGGATGCAGCGGCGCCCCCTGACCTTGGCCAGGCAGAAGCAGGCCTGCATGCGCACTTTGTAGAAGCACTGCTCCTGTTCCAGGATGTCGGTGAGGGCCAGGCGCGACGCCGGCGTGGGGAACTTCTCCAGCGCCGATATGGCCTCCTCCTGGGCCACCACGTCCCGTTCGTAGCGCAGCTGGTACTGCCACATGAAGTCCGCCTGCTCAAACTCCACCTTCCGCAGGATGGACATGTCCGGGTCGATCCGGATCCACAGCAGGGGGGAGTCAGCGCTGGGAGGGGGGGGGGGGGGGGATTCACAGAAAAGACGGCTCATCAAGCTCACTTCCCTGCTGGGACTCCGTGAATAACATGATCCTACTGTTATTGTACGTTGCCTTTCTCTACCGACTAAAGGATCATTCCCACACTGGGCTGCACCCTAAGCTGTATTTTTATTAGGGTTCATCTGAGATTCATTCAAGTTGAACAAACATACGTAAGCGCACTGGGAACCCTAAGTACGTGTGCTTATTCGCTTTGCTACCAGTACTGGCATTCCAAAATCCTGCCCACCGCGGCTGTCCATATCCTCACCGCTCGCCTGGAGACACTGACCCTAGCTGACGCAGAGCGCTTTGGGGCCTACTCCTGTCTCTAGTGCCCTGCCTTCTGTGGAAAAAAGGCCTGACCCATTAGCTTGGATATATACATGTCCAATGATTGTACTAAGCAGTTGGGCAACACCACTGGGCAACAGCCAAAGGCCAATATTGGCGGGCCATGTCGACTAAGGCGGACTTACTCCATGGCAGACAAGTCCATGTCCACTTCTTCTCCGTTCATCAGGGGAATCTTCTTCTTCTTGTTCCTGGATGTCGGGAAAACAACCGAAAACCAACAAGCTCGTCATAGAACAACTTTCAAGGGCATTAAAAACCACCAAGCGGCTGTCAGAAAGACGGCAAGGGGCAGACCGTCTGCTCTTTGAGTGACAGGGGATGTCATGCTTGAGGCTGTTCTCCTCTATCTGCAGCGTGTGGTTGAAGGAGCCGTCGAGCTCCTGCACGGTCACTTTGATGGGGCCCTGGGGAAAACGGACATCGTGTCGCGCTTAGGAGCCTGAGCGGGGGCGAAATGCAGGCTTATTCCCAGAAGGGAACTCACCACGTATTTCTGGGTGCCAGATGAGGTGTAGTCCTGCCGTATTTCCAGCTCCAAGACATTCCTCTTCCTGTTAAATGCGAAGCTACCAAAAAACTTCACAACCCCACTCTGGTCTCTGAGATTGTGAGTCAAGGAGGGACCTTGAGGTTCACCTTTGGGCTAACATGGTAAGATATTCAGACAGAGGTCATGAAAATTAAGAAGATCGACACTGCCAAGTCCTTCCCAGATGTTACTCATCAGGGACTGAAAGGGGCAATCAAACATTGTTCAGAATTCAAATAAAAAGTTATAAAATACCCACAAGCTCTAGTTGTGGATACAACTTCAAGTGGAAGATCGCATTGCATGCCACACAAATAAAGATCTGCCCCATTCACACTTAAATCTGACTGGACAGGAAAAAGGATACACCCACTGTTTGATCAGGGGCCCGATGTCCTTGCCTGAAACGTTGGAGATGGACTTGAGGAAACCAGAGGTGGACACCAGCATCTGACTCCACATATGGGACTGGTACTTCTGGGAGGAGGCTGTGCTGGCCAGACTCAGCAGCTTGTTAAAGACCTTCAGGGCAGCAGGAGAGGAGAGAGGTCACTTGAGCCAGTTCACCTGAGCCAGGCCATCTGCCCCAGCCACAACTGCCTAGAGCGCCCAACTCTCCCAGTGGCATGTGGAAGTTCTGCTGAACTTCTGATCCACAGGCCTGGATTAGAGTGATATTATACCTATGCAGACTAAGCATACGTAATGATCTTTCTTCTTGCTACTGGAGTGATGAGCTGTTTTCCGGTGGAAGAGTTTTGGCATTGATAAAGAAAGGAAATGGACCTTCTGAATGGCTACCAGGACCTGGAAGTGGCCGAAGCCAAACCCAGTACCCATGCGGGGAGCCTCACCTGCAGCATGAACTCCATGCTGATCCGGTTCTCGATTAGTCGCATCACCAGGTGGGCCTTGCACTGGAACATCTTGTAGTACTCCCAAGACAGCGTGTGCGGGTGTTTGATGGAAAAGTGCAGATGGGGGGACGGGCTAAAAGGGACAAACACCAGCATCTTCCTTATGAGGGTCAGGACCACTAGCCATCCACTTCACACAGCTTTCCCCGGGACACAAGACTACGGTGTGTTTTGTTTCAGAGATGTTATCAACCATTACAATAAAAGAACAAGAGTCGGCCAATAAAGCTCTGTGTCGGAAAGTCTTAGTCATCCATGGAAACTCAGCAGGCCGCTTGCGGCCGCCCATGTCACAGCAAAACAGATGATTTTCTTGGCCGAAACCCGAATTCGTTGATGTTTTAGGGGAGCATATTGGGATGAGGCACCCCCAAAGGAGCCCCCACGCTCCAGTCAGCAGACCCAAAACCTAGGACGACCCCTGCTTTTGTTTAGAGGGAAATATCTGCTGACAGCTCGCGCACGCAGACTCCAGTTGGCGGGTGTGGGAGGGGGGCCTTGTCTTACTTGTCCTTCTCTTTGCCGCTCCCGAACGTGGGGTGCAGCAAGACGCCCCCAATTTTCAGCTCGTACTCCACGATCTTGTCCAGCTCCTGCAGATCAGAGACGTGGCGGGTCAGCAGAGGCGGACATTTCAGGTCCAGAAAGTAAAAATCCAAACCAGGATTTTGTTTCAACCAACCAGTTGAGTATAAAGAGTCACGTTCAGCGAGTACTCAACTGGTTGGTTGAAACAAAATCCTGGTTTGGATTTTTACTTTCTGGACCAGAAATGCCCGCCTCTGCGGGTCAGTGTGTCCCCCCCCCGAACCGTGTCACCTCTCCCAGCAATGCCCCGCCCACTCGCCTCTTTGATCCAATGGCGGTACTCGTTCACGCCAAAAGTCTTCTTCAGGTACAGCCCGTAGATGTAGCCCGAGATCCCCTTCAGCACCCACTCGTCAGACCTGTAGGGCATGATGGGGGGGGGGGGGGGCAGAGGGCAAGAAATGGGGGTGCAATTGGGGGTTAAGGGCCTTGCTCAATAGCTTAATGGTGAAATCACTCTGCCGACCTTAAGATTCGAACCAGCGACCTTTCAATCACAACCACGGCATCCTAACCCGCTGAGTCTCAAACGACCCCCAAAATGGTTTTTACTTGGCCAGCCTCATTCTTGAACCCGGATCTTTGGGCACACGGGCAATGATCATTAGCCAGCTGACCTGCCCAGCTCTTTTAAAGCAGCTAAAAGCCCTCATTCAGAACCAAGGTGTGGGGGTGGATTAAAGAGACACTGAGCATCAGCTGCAGAAAAGACTATTAAATCAGCCCAAGTACAAAAATCCTTGAAAAACACCATGACTGAAGCCGGTATCTGATCCTCTGGCTGCCTGGGAGGTCTTCTCCAGAATGGCAGAGGAACAAGAAGGAACTCTAACGAGCATTTAATCGCCGCGAAACCCCGAAAGCGATGTCTGGCTCTCTTTTCACCGGCCGCTCTGTTACAGCAGTGCCATAACCCCGACAGGCTGATTCAATTTGTTCATCTTCAGTGGCTCTTTCCTCACTGGCCCTTCGGGCGTTTGACCCTTAAAGCCACCTACTCCCACCCCATACTCATTCGGGCCCCAGCAAACACAAAGTAACACGGCCCCCCCCAAAACCCCTCTTTCACTGGCCAAAAGTGAGCTCAGTCCCAAAAGGGCTGGCTTTGATTACAGGCCTGAGCGAAATTAAACCGCACGATTAATTGCAAGCAGGCCGTCGGGCCCCTATATCAAAGGCCTCACGGCTCGGGTTTTCTGAGGGGGGCTTACGAAACGCAAATAAACAAGGCGGGTAACCCGAGCTTCCACATCTGACTTAGCTTTGCGCGCCCACTTCGCTCACAGGGGGTCTATTGTTTGCGAGCCTTCAAACGTTTGGACGCCCCTTGCGAAATTTCGGCGTCAGAGAGAAAGCCGGCCAGAGGAGAGGCCTTGCATCACGTCAGGCCGGATGCCAGCCACTGATGCAAAGCAATTATACACACACACACACACACACACACATAATGAAGCTCCCAGTTTCATGCCAGCTTCATTTCACTTCATGCACAATATTATTGTACAACCAGTTTCATCCAGATTTTCCAGCGACGAACAGAAACATTTCTGCTTTTTTTTTTTTTTTCTGCTGCCAAATTACTACAATTAGTGGCTTAGCAGAAGGTCAAAATAACAGAGAGCCTCTGCAGACGCATCCTGATCACTGCAGGGTAATGAGGCCACAGCCGTGGTGTCCATCTTTTGAACCCTGAGCCCTAGGCAAAGTTTACCGAAACTCATATATGATATTAAAGTGTTTCCCACCAAGTCGACGTGCAGCTAGACGTTACATCGCATTTATTTATAAAGCAGATGCTACTGTCTAGTGACATTAACGCAAGGCAGATAGTACATCACGAGCGCACGGCAAAGGGGCACAGAGTTAGCGGAGACTGGAGCCTGAGCCAGCAGACAATGAGCCGAGGTGCCGGAGGCCCCCGTACCGGAGCCGGCGACGCCTCAGACTGCTCACCATGACATCCGGGATATGAAGCAGCCGAAGAACTGGTGGGCAAGAGCCTGGGCCAGGCAGCGTCTGGTGTTGGGCGTCTGGTCAATGATCATCGCGCTGTGCAGCAGGTTGGTGCTGAAGGTTCCGGAACGGGGTCGGCGTGCCGGCGGGGAGAAGGGGGGTGGGGGATTTGGTGAGTCGACGCAAGCAACCTGAAAACTGCCCTCAGCGTTTTAACAGCTTCAGTGCACACACACGGCTGGGGTACCCTAGACGGGATGCCAACCAATCACAGGGCACATGGCTGGGGTACACTGGATGGGATGTCAGCCAACAAATTACTACACCGATTAGCTTAACTGGGTGCAGGGCCAGGAACATCATTAGGGATCGCAGCCACTGCAGCAATAGCCTCTTTTCTGTGCTGAGGTTCTGGCCGCCTGAAGGCCAGCACAGAAGGGCTGGGGAGGAGCTTCTGTCCTCAGGCACTTCAGATTCTTAATAGGGACAATGTCTAGGACCTTTGTGTAATCCATGTTCCACTACAACTCGCATGTCCAGGCCCATATGAACATTTCTGTAAGGAAATACCTATTCACTGACACGTGGACAACCACCTGATACTCCACACTACTTATGGTAATGTACAATGAAAGTTTAAAGTTTATTTTTTTATGTTTTTTCTCTTTATAAGTATGTCTCCTGCAACCACAGATTTGGAGTTAAGCAAACAAGCATCTCAATGCACATAGTACTGAGTGTAACTGTGCCTGCGCCAAAAAAAACTCTGATTTGAGCGGATTTGAGATGCGTGTCTCTGGACCTCAGAAGGAGCGCAAAGTAGGCAAAGGTGAGTAACTGCAAACTCCACGTCCACGGAGTGGAGGCCAGACACAGAAGGCGTGAGGTGACAGTACCAGGCTCATAACCTCCACACCGACCCATGGACACCACCTGAACTTCACATCCACAGAAATCTTGGCAAGTTTACACAATAAATCTCGAATGATGCTTTTGGGTAAAAATAAATAAATAAATAAAAATTGTGTGACTGATACCTGAAGATACTCATGGATGCATAAGAGGAGACCTGGACATAGGCCTCGTCGACAAACACGGTCTTGAAACAGGAGTACGGGTAGCGGCAGGTGAGAATCTCTTCGTAGAACTCGAAGATCTCATGAAGATAGGACATGGAGTGCTTCAGTAAGGGTAAGAGCTGAGGCAGACAGAAATGTGTAACCTGGAAAATAGGAGGTCTCACTGAAATACAAGAAAATAAAGGATGTTTCTCTTCACATCTATTTTTAATGCAGTACTCTGGGGAAAAACAGACAGGAATATATCTCACTGTGTTTTAAGCAAGTAATGATAAAATGTAATAAAATGTGGGAATAAATAAAAATGTGCTTACAAGTTTACAGTTAGTGAAATAACCATGAAAACAGGATGAAAATGAACCACTTCGGATCTGAAATTACAGATCTCAGAGCTGCTGGTAAACACATACCAACCACAAACAGTCTGACATTTCCCTGGCACCACAACACTGTTTATAGAACACACCAGTATTCCTGTAGCTTAATACTGCCAAAATATGCTAAAAACAAATCCCCAAATGCTGGTTGCTATGGCTGACAGCTCTCCATGCTGCAGCAGAGGAAGTCACTCATACCTCTAACCTTTGTCCTGGGAGAGTGAAAACATAACATCCACAACTCTGCAGCAGTGAAAGGAAAAATGAAACTCTGTGCCCCAATGATTGGCTTAACCCTCCTACGATTGGTCAATTTACTGCTCCGGATTGGGTTAAACCGGTTAATGATAATGCATGGTAATCCTCTTTAAAAGCCTAGGAATGATACATTATAGCAGATGTCTCCCTCTATTGGCCAGAACTAGAAGCTCAAAAACATTCACATAATGTGAGCCAGAAGCTGGATAGAAATGGGTCTAGGACAGTTAGTTACATTAATGACATTACAGTTACAATATTATGCTGCATGATATTGGAAACAAGTTCACATTGCAATACGATTTTTTTTTTGATAACTACTGTGATATGAAGCAAAAATAGGATTTGAAAATGTACTCAAAATAAACTATAGTCATAGAACTAATTATCTGCCAATGGAGTCTGTCACATATGTTGGTGGCGTTGTCACAAGTCGTGCCAACAGAGACAAAGTAGCACCAACAAAGCAATTGCTTTCACTCAATATCTTTGTGGTGTCCAAAATATTTCCATACAGCAGAAGACGCGTATCTTTTAATGCCCAGTTCTTATGCGCTTTTCACAGTAAATTGTAGAGTGATTTTAACAAGAGATAATCTTGACATGAAGCAGTCATTAAACTATCAAATTCTATGACAGTGAATGTTTTAGCATAATTTATTTTCTTAACCCAGCTGACTCTATAACCTTCCATCCGTTTTCCATAATCATTTATCTATCCATAACTCAGGTTAAGTGTCTTCTAGTGGCCAAAAAGTAAACCTCACATCTCAAATCGCAACGTCCTTCCTTACCTCATGCATATAAGGGTCTACAAGGATCTCAAATGGCCCCACAGCCAGAGAGATGTTGGGGGCGGCAGTTGGGATGGGCAGCATGTAGTGGAAGGTCTTCTTCCGCATGTCGTGGGTGTAGATGGTCTCTACCAGGTCTCCACAGGACACAGCCACCATGGATGCGTCAACGGTAAACTCCAGCTTCCATGTACACAGCTCCGAGTAGGAGTCCACACAAGGAAACCAAAACCTGTCAACGAGTGAGAAGATGTTACTATCACTGAACGTCCTCACGCACCATGCAAACCACTATCCTCAGCACCAGTAGGACAGCAGGAAGACACCACTTTTCCTGAACGTCCTCACGCACCATGCAAACCACTATCCTCAGCACCAGTAGGACAGCAGGAAGACACCACTTTTCCTGAACGTCCTCACGCACCATGCAAACCACTATCCTCAGCACCAGTAGGACAGCAGGAAGACACCACTTTTACTGAACGTCCTCACGCACCATGCAAACTCATATTCTTGGCATCGGTAGCAGCCAAACAAGGAACACTTTTTAAATGAAAAACGCCATTTAAATCTCATTGGCACTGGCTCTCAGGCGTTACCGTGTGGAGTTCTGGTATCCAAAGGAGAAGACGTGGGCCCCTCTTTCAGCCATGCTCCCCTCCACGTCGGGCACCACGAAGTGCAGGCCTCCTTTGGGCTGGTCCAGGGAGAACTCGATGTACACCTTCAGGACCTTCAGCTCTGCAGGGTGAGTAGCACTATGACACAGCGCTCCCTTGAGCAATGCTAGATATATTTAATGGAAGCGTTTATCCAAAGCGCCATACAATTGAGAAGGTAGGGTCAGACGGTCCCTGGGGTAACTGGGTTAAGGGCTAAACAGTGAACTTACTCTGCCGACCACAGAATCTGAACTGGCCCCCTGATGACTGGAGACACAGAGTCATAACCCAGACAGCCACAAATTGGCCCAGAGATGTGGCCTCATCCCAGCTATTCAGGGCCACGCCCATGTCAAACGTGGGTCACTCCTCTCTTACCGTCCCCCTGCTTCCAGAGCTCCGAGGGGACCTTAATGCATAGCTCCCCGTTGCCAGCATCGGGATCCACGGCACTCACTGCCGCCGTATAAGCGCTGGAGAAGTAATTCAGGTTCCTCCTGGAGGGCAGAGGTCCGTTGGCTTAGGTACATGTGACACATTAAACATATAAACAGAGCCTGAGCCTTTTTCCTCATGTCACCACTTGAACCAATAATCAACAAGCATTGTAGCATAAAATTATGCTGCTTGTACAAACCTTAACAGGGCAAATTAAAGAACTTTTATACCCTCGAGCCTGGTGGACACTACGAGTATGAATTTTTTACTCGCCTTGTGCACATTCATAGAGTGAATACCTAAAAGTCTTTGAAGAAGCTCACCTATTGTTTTTTACAAATATGGGTGCATTCCTGCCCCCCGTATACATCACTATTTAATTGCGATGTCGGTGTGCATGTTGAGCCAACAAGTATCCACTACTGAGTCTCAGTCAGAAAAAACAATCTGCAATTTTCCAAGTTTTCCGAACAAACAGAGGGGACACTTACTGTTTGGACTCATGGTGACAGACTTCCAGGGTGGGGTCGTTGTAAATGAACGGTGCCTCCAAGTCGTTGACACGAACCCGATATATCCTGCACTGCTTACTGCTCAGTTTGATGCGGTTTAAGTTCACAACCGTGGGGAAGATGGTCAGCTCGACATAGCCCTGCCAGGGACATCAGACCGACCACGTTAAGGCGCCAATGCTCACTGACAGGTCAATGGTAGGATCTGATCGATTTTAATATAACGACACGTGCTAATTACAAAAATATAATCATTTTCCCAGCATCTTGGCTACGATTAGATTTGAATGTGACTGTACTCGTATTAAGTAATGCATTAAGGATTCACTTACAATCACGGACTTCCTCTGAAAGTTGATGTTATTTATGCAGACCACCTGGTGGGTCGTACAAAAGCAAACAAAGATTTATTAGACTTTATTAATAGCTTTAGCTACAGGTACGTGATGCTATGAGACATGCGCAGAAGGACGCGATCGCAACGCCGGCGTTCAGTCTGCATAAGAAACGCAAAGTGCGAGGCTGTGGACTCACACTGGCAGTATGAGAGAGCGAAAGAAAGAAAAATAATACTTATAATTTGTATGGTCGCGGACTCTCGAATCCTTTGTCTTTCTTCCTATTCATCTTCGGGTTTTAAAGATGCATACCCGTGTCCCAAAGGGGATTTGGTGTCCTGCTGACTGTACGATAACTGCTCGGGATAGTCCCTACGTTGGGAGCTGCAGGGTATTTACCACTTTTTACTTTCAAAGATGATCTGTTATTTCGGGATTTAGGAACTTGGGATAAGCTCCAGCCCCAAGTGAACTTGGCTAGTTAAGGATAGTAGTCAAGAAACGTTGGTGCACGGCGGCATTTTTGTAATATTTCATCACAACTCCCAAGGAAAGAAGCAAAAATGCTTTTTTTGCAAAAAAGAACACTGCACTGTTAGCAGAACATTAACGTTTGCGAAGCGTCAACGGCGGGCGGCTAACGCTAGTTGACACTTTCCGTACTACGTCCTGTAAATCTATAGCCTCTAAGTTTTTTCATAATTAAAAAGCTTTTAAAGCTATATCGACAGGCCTCGTCGACCTTCGATTTTACATTGTATACGTAGCTCAAGAATTCGTTTTCAGTGTTCCCACTACAATTATGTTCATCCTAACCCTCGGACGTCTCAAAATAAAATGAATCCTCCCGATTCATGCTCTGCCATTTTGTCCGTAACCTTTGAACTGGCGCGCAAACGGGGGAGGAGTTTAACTAGTTCGTCGGCTGGATGGTGTATGTTAGTGACGAAGACTGACAGGTGTATAATATCGCCATCTGCTGTCCTGGAGGACATAACAACCAGAACAGCCGGCTGAAATCAAAAGACCGGCAGAAGCATTGCCTGTAAGCATTGACGAACCGCAGATCGAAATGTCTACATCTACATTAATTTATTTAGCAGACAATTTTGTCCAAAGCCATGTTCGAGTGACAAACAGCAGACCCGAGGTCGACAACTTAAACACGTGACTGGATCTGAAGATGGATCTATTTTAACATAATATTTAGAACTTAGCATAAAGGAAGTTCAGGAAATTGGTTTAATTCACTTTTTATAGGCTGGAGTTAGTCTTCTGCTGCTTATATGATGACAGCTGATTAGGATTATAAAATGTGACTGAAGTATACTTGTTCAAGAGATGTCATGACGAACACATATGGTTTGTATATTCCTAACGAAAGATGAATGTTTTTATCTTGACCAGAATGAGCCGATATATTCATAAGCAATTTTCTGATCCAGTTTAATTTCACCGTTGAATAAAGCGACAAATCTTTATGAATGCATCACAACCAGCTGGCTACTTTGCTAACTCTGGTTAAGTTACAAAGAAAGTCAGACTTTGAAAAGTAGATTCTGCTAACATTTAAAAGCACCACTTAATTACAAACGTTTTCAAAGCAGTAAACATTTTATTTACAAAGAGAACAAAAGGAACGAGAGGTTCAAGTAGCCACGGGCCGTCTGGAATTGTACACCTTCCTCCCGTTCTGCATGGACGAGCGTGCGTACTTGGTGAGAAGAGCTCCGGTCGTTTGCTTTTCACCACAGAGATCCCTTTCGGAGAGATACAGAGAAGAGAGAGAACGCAGGTAAATAGAGGAATGAGGATGCATTATTATGGTTAGAGAATAGCCGGCGTGTCAGATGCATTATTATGGTTAGAGGTACGGAGAGAATAGCCGGCGTGTCAGATGCATTATTATGGTTAGAGGTACGGAGAGAATAGCCGGCGTGTCAGAAGCCAGTGCCACATGGATGCAGGATGACCCTAACTGTATGTAGGGAACAATGTCTTCCTCAGTCCACTTCTCTCTCATGCTGAAGAGACAGCTGAAGCGCTCTAAGGTGTCCTCTGGCAAGTCCTCCACTCTCAGGAGGGAGATGGTCTCAGGTCTGGAGCTGCGGTCCACGAGAGCTACACTCTGATGGGCAGAATCACATGGTAGGCGCTTCTCCCCGATATCCCCAGAAGTTATCCTTGACTCAAGCTCGCGTTTAGCCAAACGGGCAGCAGTGATGACTCACGTAGCCAATCACAGGCGAACCATATCCCGACAAGGCGGACGTCTTACCCTGAGCTGGTCCAGCCTGGTGGTCATGCCCTCGGGCACGCTCTGCTGCCACACCTCCAGGAACTCGGCCAGGTTGAACTTCACGGCATTCTGCAGGAGCATCTGCGCCATGGCCTGGCACACCTTGTCTTCATCCAGCGCGAAATACACCTCTCTGTCTGTCGGGTCCGAAATGCACAAGTTGTCCAACACTCAGTCAAACTTCAGGTTAAATCAGACGGTTAAACATGTTACATTGCTAAAGCTAATTTTGTTAGCAGTGTCACTTAAAAGGGACTCAAACAGCAGCAATCACACAACTTCAGAATAACTTGGGTTGATGGCATATTAATGAAAATTAAACTGGCTTCTAAATTTATAACCCAACTCAATCAAGATAATTCCACTTAAATCAGTATCAGTCCAGTTAAAATAATGTTTTGCAATATGCTCTGTCCATTCTTCTCACCAGATTTTTCAACACACAGTAACGGAACCCTATATTCTTGTGATTGTGCAACAATGCAAAATCAAAACACTTAGTATTCACAGGTTAACTATGAGTCCAAAAAACACCGTAAACGGCTTATTTTAAAAAATTTTAAAGATTGAATATGTTTGCTAAATAGGTATCATCACAAAAAAGCTGCGACCACATCCAGTCAAATTCACCTCAACCATCTAAGGATGTGAAACTGCAATTACGCAAGAGGGCTGAACATCGAAATGTTAAAACAGAAGAACAAAAAAGAGCAACAAAAAAAGCAGAAGGAACAAAATATCCCCGTATGAAATGAACCAAGCAGGCAGTGAGATTAAGGAAAATCAGGACACTTACATCCTGTAGATCATACTTTAACCCAAACATTTACTTTAAATTACCATTTTAGTCTTCAGTCTGTCCATACCTTCATCAGTGTAGCGCCTCCCATAGCAATTCAAGCAGTGTTCAATCATCTCTCTGTAAAAAACAAACAAAATATACGTCTCCACATTGCTGCATCTAAGAGTGAGTTATTACCGTGCACTCTTTCCCCCAGAAATGCAATATTTATCCCTAAGAAACCTTTCCACCATGTCGACATACTCACTTGGGTTCAAGAGGCCCAAGTTCCTGCAAGCTTACACTCCGAGGAACTTTGCTGAAAGACCACGACTCGGAGTCCACCAGCTGGGTCACGTGACCAAGCAGTTTCATCTCGTAGTCAAAGTCCAGAATCCTCCAGTAGCCTGCATGGACGACCAGTGGAATGTGGATGGGTACATTTCTGGCTTGGAACGCCCTCTGACATGACGCACCCGGCCGCACACCCAACTTACCGTCAATTTCGCAGGCATGTATATCCTGAAGCTGGCTGAGAATTTCCTTCTCACTGGCTTGAATTCTATCCAGCAGGTCCTCCATAGTGTACTAACACCAAGGGAAAAAAAACAATGCATGGATAATAAGGCAATATTCTAGAGAAATGTCATACTCATGATGAAGAAGATGAGTATTAATAATTAATAATGTCAAACACACTATGTACATGTTAGAAACACCACCCTGATGC